GCTGTTGTAGGAGAAGAAGGGGAAGGGAGTGAACGGGAGGCTTCTGCAGGGGCTGCGGCTTGCAGGCTAGAACTTGGGAGGGGGCGGGGAGAGGAGGTGGAAAGCTTCGATATAGGGAATCTCCTTCCATTTTTTCAGGCGCTGGCAGTAGTTAAAAAGATCGCGAGTGATCTTAGGATCAAGAGTTCCCCCTGCAGGCCATTGGTTTTTATTGTCTAGGGGGTATGTCGGCCAATCTTGGGAGCAATATTTACGGAGAAGTTTTGGTTTTATATCAGGCATCAGGGAGAGGGTAGCCAGATGCTTAAGCAGGCATTCAAGAGGTGAACTTTCAGGGAGGGATGAGGAGGCTCCCATGGCTAAAGGACAGAGAAGGAGACAAACAGGGGAAGACGAACGGAGATCCTCGGACTGGAAGCAGACCACAAGGAGACAAAGGGCGTCCCCGATGATCCTTGGTGGTCTGCGGAAACTCGTATACGAGTCGGAATTTCTTGGGAAGTGTGGGTCGTCACCCAGACTTCCCTAAGAAGGCAGAGTGCCGGAGTCACGAGGTACCTAGCGCTAGGCGTTTTCGGCGGACGGAGCAGAAGGAGGAGGGGGGGAAAAGGGAGCGTTCTCATCCACAAAGGAGTCACCTCGTTTATGGCTGTTGGAGGGGGGTGCCTGAGAGTCGGCCGCAGCCGTGAAGGCCTGAGGCGGGGATTTATGACTGTCGGAGGAGGGGCCTGAGCGTCCGCCGCAGCCGTGAAGGCCTGAGGCGGGGAGCGTTCCCTCCTCATCCCCGAGCGTCAGGGCCTTGCCGGACGATCACGGTCAATGGCACTGCGATAGCTCGGGGAAGAGTGGCCCACTCCGGGGGGAAAACTTACCTAAAGGCCAGAGAGGAGTGGTGAGTGTGATGAGCCAGCGCCGGAAAAAGAGGACGAGGGCAAGCTGCTGCTGGTGTCGGGGGAAGACGGGGCCCAGTTGGGGTGTCCCGTCTCCCGGGTTTCGGCACCAATGAAAGGAAAGGAGCGACACATAGCAGCAATTCACCGGAGAGTTCCGCTTTATTAGGGAAAGGTGCTGGGTTATATAGGAGGGGGCATGAATTGATTGAGGTGTCACTTCTACGGGGCTGGTGGCTGTTGGCTAGGTGCTGGGATTGGGAGGGGGGTGAGAGGTGATTGGGCTTCAGGTGGCGCCGGCGGGAACTGAGGACCCCGAAGAGAAGCCAGAAGTTTGCCATCTTACTGGTGGGGACCCTTCACTTTTAAAAACCTAAAGAATGAGAAGCTGTAGAGCTTTTAAAAATTCCCTTCATGCTGTTTTGTTTTGATAGTATTTACTAAGGAACGTGTGCATTTTTAGTTGAATAAGTCTATTTGTACCCACTTTCTAAAACTTAAGTGTTCATTAAAAAAGAATAGATTAGTGCTGAGATGACATGTAACTGTTAGTTTGTAGTTAGAATGCCCCAACTATCTGAACAGTAATATGTGCAGTCTGACTCTCTGATTAATATTGTACATATTTTAAATTTCTTGGTACTTAAAGGTTCTTTATTATCATTAACGAATAACAAAACAAAAAAACATGGCACTTTTTACCAAACTGACATTCAAAGCTCTTTTATCCTTCCAAAAGAAAGCAATAAACTATACTGTTGCGCGGGATCCCCAGCTCTCTCTCCCCACTATTCCCCACGTCTCACAAAGGCCCTTTATTGCCAGTGCATTGGTGTACACATAGGGAATGTATGTATACACATGCACCTAGGGTATTTTTTTCCATTTGTTTTCTCTTCCAGCATTTGATCACTGGCTGGTGCACTGTTTGGGCCCACAGAGATCTCTAGACCACCAGCTCATGTATTTGAAAGGCATCTGTTTATTTTGAAAATGCAAATGTGGCCTGCCTCAAAGACTGACAGGCACGAAATGACCCACTGTGCTAGGGGAGAGGTTTCCATTTTGGAGACCTGCCCCTCCCTATATCACACTGAGATCGCTGTCAGAACCACTTAAACAAGCTCCAGGAATCTGAGTGAAGGGCCTGCAGTTAAAGAGAGCAGGCTTGTTTCTCTGCCTCTGTCTCTCTTAAGAACTGGCTAGGCATGACAGACAGTGATTGCAAAGGGTGGGGGTGGAGGGGCGAGGACTTGATGATGGTGAATGTTGAAACCACAATGTTGTTCATGTGAAACCTTCATAAGATTGTATATTGATGATACTTTAATAAAAGTAAAAAAATAATAATAAAAGAATAAAATAGAATTGGCTAGGCTGATCATTTCTCACTGTGTTTATAGTAATGATGAGGTCATTTATAAAAGCACTGCGAGCCTTTGAAATGGTGGCTACTAGATCGAGGGCTGCCTGGAGGAGGGCCCCCTAGCAGGAACACTGGCTTCCGAACAGCACAGCCTCGTCCTGGGGACGGATTCCTGGGGAGAGCCCGGGAAGGTTAATACCCCAACTTTGATCTCTGTCAAGGCATACCAGCAAGAATTAATTTACATTTCAGATGAAAAATGTTGACAGCATGCAAAGGCATCTTGTTTCTGGTATGTGAATGTGGTGTAATAGACTGGGGATTCTGAAAGGAAGTTCTGAGCAAGCTAAAGGGATAAGCTGTGCAGCTGCTTTTTTTGGGAAGGAGATGAAAGGAAAACAAATTTCAGTACACACCGCTCTGTAGCAACAGTAGGCCAAATGCTTCCTAAATTTCAAGGACTGCTCTTTTAAAAATATGTAACATGTCTTAGCAACACCATCAAAAAAGACTATGAGTCAGAGCTTGAAATATAAACAAATAGCACCCTACAGAATTTAAGTTTCAAGTTGATTTGTTGAGAAAAACAAAGTAGACAATAACCTTAGAAAACAACTAGAAACTGTTGTCCTACAGACAACATCCCTAAACCACTGCCGGCAGGCTTATTCTACTTGGAAACGTCCTAGTAGTGTGAAGATGAGCTTGTAATGAGATTATGCTTTGGGGAGCGCACACCCCACAACAGAGAAGTTGGAATGAGCTGCTTTGGTTTTTAGGTAAAGGTCATCACCATACCTTTGAATATAAAGATAAGAAAATGTTCTCAAGTAAAAGTAAACTGCCCATAAAATTGCAAAGGTCCTTACCTATCCATGTATCTTTTCCACTAACACAAAACCAGCTCTTCAATTCCTTTCCCTGGTTTGGGCTGAAGGGTAGAGATTCTGCCTGCTTTTGCTCTGGCTTCCGCACTGGACTTCCAGAGAGAGAGGTGGCATTTGCACCACCTTCAGTGTCTTCACACCCGCCCAAGGCCCTGCAGACTTGGTTAATGTGGTTCCTAATGCTGCTTGATAAGTGGGAACACTGGCTGCAAGGCTAAGGAATGGGATGTCTGTAAAGCTAAGAAAGAAAAACAAGACAAAATGGGAACACCTTAGAGAAATGTGTTCTTTCTAGTTGAGCAAAACAAAATTGTCCTTCCATAGTGCCTACTGCATAGGTGCTCTACTGACGACATGCAGTCATGACTCTCCTGACATCATGACTGTCCTGACATCATGATGATGCAGCAGACCTGTCTGCTTTTAAGCAGTGTTCACTTGGCAATAGCAGAGTGCAAACAGGGAGCCCTCTAAAGATGATTTTCAGAGAGGAGAAATTTGATTTATGATCCTACATACTAGACTCGGTGGATCAACAATATATAAACTCAAAGTTCATATTTTAAAACATATGTTGGGCTTTGATCCAAGCTGCAAGATCAGAAATCAGTCTAGTGTCCTCTCTTAACAGGGGACTGAGTGTATTTGTGTGTGTGTGTGTGTGTGTGTGTGTGTGTGTTGGGAGGTAGGCAAGCAGGGAAACAAATGCACTTTGAATTGTCACCTGTGAACTGTAACTAGGATTGCATCCTTCTTCCTGAGGCTTTGAATTTGCAGAGCTTAAAATTCCTAGGGGATGGTGTTAAAAGTTACATATTTGCATTTAAATGACATCCCTTCCTCCCAGATATTTTGGTTTTGAATTAAGATGTCAGGCCTCTGAGGTGGCCTAAGAGTGCTGAGAAGTGTCCCTGGAAACACGTTCTGGGCAAGGACCTCCTAAAAAAGCTTGCAGCTGTTTTAAGATCAGGGCAGTATCTGAAACCCTACCCTATCCCTGCTGTTCAGTCCACGAGACTGGCCACTTCTGTCTCCTTGCACATTCAGAGCTCCTGGCACACTCTGGGGTTGTTTCTTTCAGAGCCTCAATTAGGCATATACCACCTCAAATGATGAAGGGAGGCCAGCCTGGCAGCCACCAGGAATATTGCCATTTGCATAAGAGCAGCACGACCTAGGAACCAGCGCAGGGATGGATGAACCAGGCAGCAGAGCTCACAGCACTCAGGCAGCCAAGGCTAAGCTTAGATACAAGAACTACCCCTTGGGGCCCAGAGGACCACTTTCACCACATACAGGCCATGGTGTGGGAAACTCCGGTTGCTGGGGAAGTCCCTGAGCTATTCCTAGGTCTGCATACTGAGACATAGGTCTTAAATATGAGCGGAGAACTCCAAAGCTGAGAGCAACCTTCCAGATCCTTTTAGCCAGTGCTCTGATTTCAAAGACGAGGGATGCATGACTTTAAAGAGGGAAAAGGATTTGTTCAGTTGACAATATAAGAGGTTGACTCTCTCTGAGTTGCCTGTGTTCATATGCTGGCTCTGCTGCTGACTGTGTGACCATGGATAAGTTGTTTACTTCTCTGTGCCTTAGTTCCCCTTCATAAAATTGGGAATGTAAGAGAACCTATTAAAAGCATCCTTAGCCAAGCGCTGCAAGCAGCACATGCTCACTGTTAGTGTCCTCCTCATCACACAGGGGGTGTGTCAGAACAAGCACTAGAAACCCCCACTAGAGCTCTCGACTCCTATTCCAGTGCTCCTGAATTATCAACCTTTCAGCTTTTCTAAACTCATATGAACTTAATCACAGAACATTTTCAAGTGGATGCTATGAAAATGATGTTTTAATTACCTGCTTGAATATGAACAGCAGACTCACTCCTTCTGTTGTTTATTTTCTTAAATTTCCTCTCAGCATCATATCCTCTCCAGGCTAAAAATACAAAACCATGTGCTAGGAATGACATTAATTTAAGAATGTGCCAGAGAATTGATATAAGCTGTTTTCCTCCAATCTATGACCTGTCTTCTCCTCCCTCCTGCTTTCTCATTGAACAAAATGGGCAGAGAAGTGTGAGCAATGATGGGGAAAGTGGCCTCCAGGACACATCTAAGGAGTCATTGCTGTTTGGGCAGTGAGTTTCCAGACCAGTCTGGATTCTGCTCACGACCTCCTGGGCCTCTGTCTCCAGTGAGGCGGCCCCTGCTTCTCCATCCATGAAGGGGGCTCCGTTTTCGGGACTTGCAGGGTGGGTGGGTTGATGGGATGGTAGGAAAGAAGTGGAATAGCCTAACCCATTAGGTATCTTTTATTTGGGCAGAAGGTGTAAACATGACAGTTGGAGGAGAGAACTATAATGGGGGGAGTCCAGGGGAATGACTAGCAGCCCAATGCGGGCACGCAGGGAGGGCGAATGGTTGGCTAAGAACTGTGCTAAGGGAGGGGAAAATACGGGATGGGAAGGGCAAAGGCGGGGAAGAGAAGAGAAGGCAAACGCCCCCTGCGGCCCTGACTGCCTGGCAGTCGGCTCCCTCACAGGCAGTGCAGCTCTCCGTGTGGCTTAGTGAGGCTATAAAATCCAGACTGGATATTATGATTCTGGGTTATGAGATCACAAAGGAAATCATCTGCTATGTTCAGGATCTGGCACTGAACGGACTGGGCATCTAAAAGAGCTTAGTAATTTGTTCCCTCAGTTTACAAGTTCTAGGCTAGAAAAGCCTTTTGGAAATGGCATTAGAAATCCTGATGCTGAAAACCTGATAATGGACCTGAAGTGTACATCATGTCAGTCATCTGGGAGAAGGGGCCCATGCTTGTGTGATCTGGGTTTTACATCTGTTCACTTCATACTGCTTGTATCTTGCCACTTGTCATAGTGTGTGTGATGGCTTGTTTGCTTGTCTGGAGGCCGGGTCAGGGCCAGGGTGGTCTTGCTTGTGGCTATATCCCCAGCACTTGGCACAGGGCTGGCCTGCAGTAGACACTTGATAAATAGGTGCTAAAGCAAGGAAGAGAGGAAGGGAGGGAGGAAGAGAAGAAACCACTGAGAAAAGCAATAGGTGGGTGGCCCCCAGGACTTAATGAGACACTAAGATTCAGGACCATTTACCTGACTGTATGGCAATAGCCCCCTTTTCTCTCTTCTCTTGGACTCTTTTGTATTTCCTGGCTCCAAGCCACCCCTTGGCATATGCCTGCAGCACAACCACTCTGCCTATAACTTCTCGCAGTAACAAATTTAATTGCTCAACATGGTAGTATTTGAGAAAAACCTGAAATGAGACATTGGTTTTAGCATTACATATCAGCTCCCAAACAGAAATTCAGTTTACTCCAGCATATTCTTAATGTGGATATTAAAACCATTATCTAAATAAAGTTCACAGTGACTTGACTTAGGCTAATGTTACTGACTTCTTGGGAGCAAATACAATTCTCCTCCTAAGGTTGAGCCAAACCTTGACTATGGATGCAAACAGATAACAAGGTTTAACAGGGTTTGGGAGACCCCAAATGTTCTTCAAGTCAGCTTCATTTCTGCCAGGAGTTCCATTTTCTCAGCTGATCTCGTCTAACCTTCCCCAGTCTCTGATAGAGGTGCTAACCAACACAATTGACCCATAGCCAACAGGGGAAGTTCGGAGCAGGGACCTGGATGGCCCCTAGTCAGATTTCTGCTGAGGAGCAGCAATGTTGCCATCAACGCTCAGCCTAAGGCAGGCTTTGTAGGGCAATTCAGAATGCACTGTAAAAACCGGGTATGCAGCAGGGATGTGACGTTCCCTAAGTGGAAAGCTACACATGATGAGACTATCAATCAAGGTAGTACACAGTAAATAATACAACATGAGTCAAATGAAAAGTGGACAAAACTGGAGAAGATACTCATTGTCATTAATATGGTTTATGCATTTATATGTGATGCTGGAATACTTAGCATTGAAAAAGGGACATTTTAAAATGAGTTCAAAGATCTCATTCTAGAATTGCTAAATGGTTCTCAAACTGTATACAGTATAGGAGGCAAACCTATTCTGGTGTCTGAGGTCCCAGGACTCTTGACCCAAGAGTAGCAAAGATCACTGTTGTCTGCTAAGCTACACAACTTACAGAGCCATTCATATCACTGACAAAAGACAGACACACCACAGGGCATCATGGGTGACAGTGTGAACAATAAAGACAGAACTACCTTTGTTTTTCCCAGCGCCCAGTTGTCTAATCTGGATTTTTCCAAGATAGCAACACAGCTCTCTTTGGTAGCAAGAGGTGTTTGGTGTGCTCTGAATGCCAAGTAATAATACCTACAAAATGAAAGAGTAGAATAAAGCATTTTTAGTTAACATTTAATTTAGTATAGATTTGCTCTGGACCCACTGACATGCCTCGTTTTTAATAGCAAACATTTATTGAGCACTAAAAATACTAGATAGTGAAAGATATACAATTTATTCTTATTAACTTGGCTCTTACATACTTTCATATTTTCTGCTACATGTATTTCCCTTTTAATATCACTTTTAATTCATATTCAATGCATGCTTAACATCTTTTGCATGCAAAATCAAAGCATCTAATCCTGCTTAAAAACTGAAATTTAGATAGCTTTCCTAGTGAAAGTCATCATTTTAAATGTTATAAAAATAATTTGTAAGCACTATATAAATTTTGATTCTGCTTTGAAAAGTCCTATCTGAAGCAATTTGTAGATAGCAAAACTGATCATAGCCTAACACTCCTGAACAGACTGCTGAGCTACAGGTCTGTCTCCAGGTTTAAGCTGGGTGTTTCCTTGATGCAATCACTGAAACCACATTTGTCTTCCTAAGTTACTCATTTTAATGAACTTCTATACTTTTCATATGAAAGAGNATATATATATATATATATGTAAATTGTTGACTATTATCCTTTTAGAAAGCTTCACATGATTTTTCTTTCAAAAACTTTCAGGAATCTTTTCTCTGCTCTTTGCTGCCATTTAAAATTAAAATCAAATTCTTGGAAGTTTAAAAACAAACTTAATTTCCTTGTCAAATGATTTTTGTGCCAGACCTCAGACAAGGCCGATCTGTTATTTTGGAATTACTTTTAAATATAGAGCTGTTTTTACTCTTTTAAGAAAATCACCAAAATATAAAATATGTCCTTTTCTCCTGCCAAATATTCTATATCTTTCTGTTTACGGAAAAATAAACATACCTGATTAGCACTTGAGCAATTTATCTTTGTGCTGAAAGATTGTTTTACATGTTAGGATGTAATGCTGAATTTGCAGGGAACATTTGCATTCAGAGATCCTGAGAATGTTTCCACACTCTGAGTGTTTTTACACCTTTGAGAAGGAGGGGCAATACTCTCTCAAACCCCTGAATGATGACCAGGACCATATTAGGGAATTTGGCCAAACCCAGGAACATCTCACAGCAGATTTCTTCTGGGGCTTAGGGGGAAGAGAGAAAGCCAGGAGTTGGGTATAATAAGCCTTTCTGGGCAGTTCATGGCATCAGCACAGATTTTTCACTCCAATTTCTCTAAGACTGTAGTTTTAGTTACGGCTTCTTTGACTTGGCTTTGGGCAAAGCAGAAAGATTGTGTACTGGAATACATGGGGATCAGTGGGAATAGATGGCAAATTTATATGGGGTGAATGTCTTGGGAAAGCTGATGCACAGTTAGCTTGACATGTAAAAGTCAGTGGGAAAACCAGGATTTCCTACATTCTTTCCATCAGGTCTGGCCACTTATTACATGAGCTCCCTTGGCTTTAGTCAGCTCAGACTTGCTCAGGATGACTGCTCAATACTATTGGTGATGAAGTATTTAAAGAGAATCTAATGACTGACTAGCACTGTGCAAGATATAAGAGGAATGCAAGATATGTTCTAACTCTTTAAGCAAGGTTTTATACTTGTTTTTCAGGTATTTATGGATGGTTCTCAATAATTTCTAAGTAGGCAGAATATATCCAGAACTAACATAAATAATAAAACTTAACTTGATTTTTTGTACTTCAATCCAAATCTCTTGATTTGTTATGGTGATAATATTCTTACCTATCTTAGTTAGAAAGAGATAGGTAATAGTACTGTACCAGTGGAGCACGAGAGTCCTGTTGCTCTCTATGCATGTCAATCCAAGGTATTGTCAGACTTATTATTGCCAAAATAGGTATAAAAAATGGTATTTAATTTGCATTTCCTTAGCTACTGATGAGGCTGAACTTTTGGTTTCAATGAAGTCCTGACAATGGAAAATATATACAATGAATTTAATTTCCCTATTTTTTTCTAATGATTACCCATACTCCTGGAAGGGTAGGAGAGAAGAGAGCTGAGAGTCATCGTTTTAGATTAAAAGTACATTAGCATTGGAGATTGCTTACATTTTTGTAACCTCTGACATTTTAAATTTGCACCTTTCATATTGGTCATTCTGTTTCTACATTTTTACATTGTTTGGGAATGATTTTCATCTTTCAAAGATGCTTTTGAAATCCCAACCTACAATGAATAAGCTCATCCCTCTGGTTTGTTTTATACTCAAAGGCATAGGAAACATCTGTACCACTAATGGAGATTCACACAGCCCTAAGCCAAGAGTGACTTTTTAAAAGGTTAATTATATAGACAAACATTTTCCCTTTTTTCTCCTGAAAGCCTGAAGCAAACACCTTCTTTCAGGATGGATCATTCATTCTGCATAGTTCTGGGGTTTGGGTTAGCCATGTTGTTCTCAGTCATCACTTTCTAGACCAAATTGGCTTTTTATTCCCCTTCTACTCATTGTTCATAAAAAAACTCTTATTTAGAACCTACTGATGTGCCAAGTATTGATGGAAAACTGGAATGAGGTTAATGAGCAAGGTGGATAATTTCCATGCCCTTATGAAGCTTGTATTTTAGTAGGGAAGACAAACATTAAGTAAGTACATAATAAACATAATTTTGGGTAGAGATAAGTATTATGAAGAATAAAAAGCCAGGGTAAGGGGGTGTTAATGAGTATACTTAAGGATGTATTTTGGAAGGCAGTCTTTAGCAACCAGGATAGTGAAGGCACTCAAGCCATGTCATAGGAGTATCTAATGATTACCCATACTCCTGGAAGGGTAGGAGAGAAGAGAGCTGAGAGTCATCGTTTTAGATTAAAAGTACATTAGCATTGGAGATTGCTTACATTTTTGTAACCTCTGACATTTTAAATTTGCACCTTTCATATTGGTCATTCTGTTTCTACATTTTTACATTGTTTGGGAATGATTTTCATCTTTCAAAGATGCTTTTGAAATCCCAACCTACAATGAATAAGCTCATCCCTCTGGTTTGTTTTATACTCAAAGGCATAGGAAACATCTGTACCACTAATGGAGATTCACACAGCCCTAAGCCAAGAGTGACTTTTTAAAAGGTTAATTATATAGACAAACATTTTCCCTTTTTTCTCCTGAAAGCCTGAAGCAAACACCTTCTTTCAGGATGGATCATTCATTCTGCATAGTTCTGGGGTTTGGGTTAGCCATGTTGTTCTCAGTCATCACTTTCTAGACCAAATTGGCTTTTTATTCCCCTTCTACTCATTGTTCATAAAAAAACTCTTATTTAGAACCTACTGATGTGCCAAGTATTGATGGAAAACTGGAATGAGGTTAATGAGCAAGGTGGATAATTTCCATGCCCTTATGAAGCTTGTATTTTAGTAGGGAAGACAAACATTAAGTAAGTACATAATAAACATAATTTTGGGTAGAGATAAGTATTATGAAGAATAAAAAGCCAGGGTAAGGGGGTGTTAATGAGTATACTTAAGGATGTATTTTGGAAGGCAGTCTTTAGCAACCAGGATAGTGAAGGCACTCAAGCCATGTCATAGGAGTAACTGCTTAAGACACTGGGGACATTGAGTTTAGACTCTAAAAGACTTAAGGTCTTGAAGGGGAGGAGAAAGTTTAAACTGGACCCTCTTGGGGACCTTGGCTGGGTCTGCGAATTAGACTGACAAAGACAGATTTACAGGAGAAAAGCATATAAATGTATTCACTGTAAATGATGCAGGAGCCTTCATAAGGAAATGAAGACTTGAAGAAATGATTAAACCTGAGTGCTCTTATGCTAGGTTTGATAAAGAGTGGAGAATTGTGGGAAGAAGTGAAGGAGAAAGGTGAGCTGAGTGTAATAAACTGGAGGAAACTTAGCAAGACTTGTTCACTCAGATTCCTCTGTGCCCCTTTATCTTTGAAGTTAAGGATGCTCCCTTCCTTCTGGTATAGAGAAGGCATCTCTCTATGGGTATTATGACCTACTTCTCTGCACATGTCAGTAGAGAAGTAAAAGTTCCTATGGCCAGGATTCTCACCCGGCCCTGGTCGGTTTGCTCACTACACATGTGTGGGCAATATGTTGTTACTGACTATATAAAGAGCTCCACACAGTGCTCTGGGCTGCAAGGCTGCAGGAGAGCAGAGGCTGGCGTGGTGGCAGCACTCAGGACAGAAACTGTGAAGGCTGTGGGGATAGAGAGGCCCAGAAGCAGAGAACAGCTTGCTGCATGCACACTTGCTCTGAGTGGACGGGATTCTAGTGATTGACCTGCCACCGTGCGAATAAAGTTGGGTATAACCCTTTCACCCCAAGAACATTCCATTGTCATTTTTTGTTCTCATGGAATCCATGGTGAACTTGTCTGGGGCTGAAACCCACTGACAAGACAATGCCTTTTCTCAAATATCTTCTGCTTAAAATATGCAGTATGCCAAGGTCCCATATTTAAGGGTAGCATGTTCTGAACCCCATTAGTTTCTAAAATTGTCACGGGCAGACCATCTGCATCATATTCACTTGGAGAGTTCATAAAATATGAGGATTCCTGGGCCATACCCAAGACGTGGAATCAGAATCTCTGCAGTTGGGGATCAAGAATCAATATTTCAATAAGCTCCTCTGATGATTTTGCGTCACTGTAGAGTTTGAGAGCCACTGACTTAGGGGAACATGATAACTGACTGCCATCGAATGGAGAAGAGAAACGATTTGTTTTCTAAAGTCCATAGGGTGTAACTGGGATAGATATATAGCTGCTTCTGAAAAATGGTTTTGCTCAAGGTTAGAAGGACATGGTTGTGATCAGACATCTGAAAACTTGGAATGGGCTGCCTCGGGAGCCAGAAAGTCAGTTCTTAGACTTTGGAACTGTTCAATGAGAAGAGGATTGATAAGGTAAAGAATATTGCCAAAGAAAGTCTAGTTTTACCTATGTAGTTGAACTGGATGGCAATTCATTCTAACAAAGATGTTATGTTGACTTG